TAGATGCTGTTACTGTTCTGCATCACAATATAGTGTTCAACTTAGAAAAGGGTAAGAAGTATGTTCGATGTGCTTTTCTGGACCATACTTCAGCTTTTGATTCTATACCAAGACAACGTTTACTCAACAAGTTAATAAGCGGCAATGCTGACAGCTGGATAACCAACTGGCTATGTTCCTACCTCTCTGGAAGGAAACAGTACACTGTATTTGGAGGAAAGTGTTCAGAGTCTCTACTGTCTCATGAAGGTGTACCACAAGGAGCTGTTCTTTCACCTCTTCTTTTCTTTTTTTCCACATGATCTGCCGTCTTCCACAGAAAACACTTTCGTGAAATATGCGGATGATCTTACTGTATGTAGGCCTATCTCTTCCTCTCTACATCCCATAGAAATGAATGAGTTTTTGTAATACAAAATGTCATATTTTTTTGGAGAACGAAGACGGAAATCGTAATTTAGAAAGTTAAAATGGCTTACGAAGACTCAAATATCCTCTCCACATTATTTATCTTCAAATGTACTATTTCATAAAGCCAGCTACTAAAATGGATATAGATGGAGATATATCTTAACAACTGTCGAGAAAAAGTCAGTTAACACAGAACACTTTAAACAATACTATGCTATTCTACACTAGCCAAGTGAAAAAATTTTTAAAACTACTTACATTAACATTACTGAAGTGATTTGGGAGCAAACAACACTTCAATCAGTTATGTAAGGTGAGAATTATTAGATACGTATCAGTGCATCGTATTATTAGGAAAAAAAATAATTTCTTACCATGAAAATCACTTTATTCACTGATGAGTTTTTGAACATTTCCCCTGTAGCCCCTCAAGTGTTATTACTAGTCCCAAGCATAGATAAAGGAGGGTTGGGCAAGATGTCAGCATCTCCATACCGTAAAAAAAGCATTGCTGGAAAGAGCTAACTAGAATAAACAATTTAAACCATTTAAGCTCTGTCCTGGGAGTTGAAGGAAGAATTATGGTGCCTCATGATGAAAGCCGAGATTCCCGGGAAGTCACGAGACCGATGCCTCTCCTAACAGCCAGAACAACAATTAATATAGGTACATGGAATTTTCGAACAATGTGGGAGACCGAGAAGAGAAATACAACTTGTCCGTGCTCGGAATGATTGAAACCCATTGGACCAAAGCTGAACAGAAAAGGAAAGATTCGGCAGAGATGATGTTATACTCTGGTCACAAAGAGGGAAACGCTCCACACACACAGAAATTTGCTCTGATGCTGTCCAAGTAAGAACAAAAGCACTCATAGGATGGGTATCTTACGGATCCAGAATCATGGAAGCATTCTTCAAAACAAGGAGGAGGATCACAATAAATGTTATTCAGTGTTATGCACCCACCAATGATAGTGATGAAGATGATAAAGATAAGTGTTATGAGAGGCTGCAATCGACCGTAAAGAAGTGTCCAGGAAAGGACCTGATCATCCCGATTGGAGACCTAGACGCCAAAGCCGGGATGAACTACATCGGTTATGAAGATATCATGGGAAGACATGGACTGGGAGAACGGTGACAGATTAGCAGACTTATGTGCATTCAACGAAATGGTTATAGGTGGCACTATATTCCCCTGCAAACGCATACACAAAGCTACATGGGTCTCACTGGACCACACCACACAGAAGCAAATCGATCACATTTGAATCAATATAAAAATTCAGTAGATTCACGGAAGTATTAGAAACAAAAAGAGGAGCTGATATAGATTCAGACCACTACCTGGTCATATCCAAGATAAAACTAAAGCTAAAGAAACACTGGACAACTGGAGAAACAGCATTACAAAGGTTCAATACCGCTTTCTTTCGACATACTGACAAACTCAGTGAATTCAACATAGCTCTCAGCAACACGTTCCAAGACTTCCTAGAACTACTCGAAGAAGAAGCCTGAGAACGGAGTGAAGAACCAACGGCTTCAACATGTCAGAATGTGGTGGGCCGAAAGAAGCTCACTTACTTACGCCTGTTACTCTTCGTGAAGGAGCATAGGCCGCTCACCAGCATTCTCCATCCAACCCTGTCCTGGGCAATCCTTCCCAGCTCCTTCCAGTTCCTATTCATCCTTTTCATATCTGCTTCTATTATCCTACGTAATGTGTTCTTAGGCCTTCCTCTTTTCCGCTTCCCTTCAGGATTCCAAGTTAGGGCTTGCCTCGTGATGCAGTTTGACGATTTGCGTAATGTATGTCCTATCCATTTCCATCGTCTTTTCCTAATTTCTTCTTCAGCTGGAAGCTGATTTGTTCTCTCCCACAAAAGGCTGTTGCTGATGGTATCCGGCCAATGGATGTTGAGTATGTTGCGAAGACAGCTATTTATAAATACTTGTACCTTCTTGATGGTGGTTGTTGTAGTTCTCCAAGTTTCAGCTCCATACAGTAGAACTGCCTTGACGTTGGTGTTGAAGATTCTCACTTTGATATTGGTTGAAAGTTGTTTTGAGTTCAATATGTTCTTCAATTGTAGGAATGCGACCCTTGCTTTGCCAATTCTTGCCTTTACATCTGAATCTGAGCCTCCTTGTTCATCGATGATGCTTCCCAGGTATGTGAAGGATTCTACATCTTCCAGAGCTTCGCCATCAAGAGTGATTGGATTACTGTTCTCCGCCTTGAATTTGAGGACCTTGGTTTTCCCTTCGTGTATGCTGAGGCCTACTGATGCAGAGACTGCTGCCACACTGAGCCGAAAGAAGCATTAGCATGAAATGTGAATCTCACTGACACCCTAGACAGGGTTCAAGTAAGGAGGACCAGGAAGACAGCAATTAACAAAAGCCGAACAAGAGTAGAGAAAGCCAAGGCATAGGCCTGATACGCAGAAGCAAACAAGAGAGTGGAGAAGAGCATCAGAGCTGACAAGCATAAATACGTGTAAAACCTGGCAGTAACTGCAGACATGATTCACGTCATATTCAGGAAGATTTAGGAGGAGGAACAAGTGCTTCAGACAGACTAAAAACTAGGATATCTCGTCTACATACCAAGGGAAGGAGATCTGAGCAAGTGTGGTAGCTGCACATGCATCACACTACTATCGGTACCAGGAGCTTTCAACAGTGTTGCTGAACCGGGTGCAAGATCCAGTAGCCCAACTTCGAGATCAACAGTTCGTTTTCCGTAAGGATTGGTCATGCACAGACCGAATCACGACACCACGGATGATCGTTGAGCAATCAACTGAATGGAACTCATCACTGCACATCAACTTCCTTGACTATGAGAAAGCGTTTGAGTGTGGATTGCATGACCTTATGGAACCTTCTTCGACACTATAGTGTGAGAACATCGTCAACAACAAACAGAACTCATATGACGGACTGCACTGTGAAGTCGTGCATGAAGGACAGCTGACAGATGCATTCTAAGGGAGAACCGGAGTCAGACAAGACTGCTTACTCTCCTTTCTCTTTCTTCTAGTGTTCGACTGGATTGTGAAGACCTCTAGATCTGAGGGGAAGCACGGTATACAATGGACTGGTTGGATGCAACTAGACTATTTGAACTTCATAGATGACCTAGCTATTCTACCCCATACATACGAACTAATGCAGTCCAAGAAAACCACTGTACCTAGTCAGCATCATCGGTGAACAAGGAGGATCGGATGGAAACGTTAAGTCAAGGATCGCCAAAAAAATGGCAGTATTTCTACACTTGAAGAAAATATGGGACTCAAAACAAGTGTCAACTGATGTCGTATTCAGAATCCTTAATTTGAACGTCTAGACAATTCCACTGTACGGAGCTGAAGCTTGGAGAACTACCACAGTCAGTCATAATCGAGAACTGCCACAACCATCATCAAAAACATATAAATACTTATAAACTATTGTCTACTCAAGATACTCGATATCTGTTGGTCGGATACGATAAGCAACAGCCTACTTTGGAAGAGAACAAACCAGCTTCCGGATGAAGATGAAATTAGGAAAAGACACTGGAAGTGGATAGGACATAGATTTCAAAATTCATCTAACTGGATCACGAAGCAAGAAAGGTCAAAGAACACACTGAGTCGAGAATTGGAAGCAGACGTGAAAGGAGTGAATGGCAACTGGAAAGGAATGCCCAGGACAGAGCGCGATGGAGAATGCTGGTGGGCGGCCTATACTCCTCCACAAGGGGTAACAGGCGTAAGTAAGCAACTGCTAGCTTTTTTCCTTAAATATTTGTTAGTCAGTAAAAACAATTTTGCACAAAACCAGTTTATTGATAGTTCTGATGACATTTCTACGTTTGAAAACAATAAGATGAAACTATACAATAAAATGCAAAAATTGTTTATGATGACCTAGCTTTTTGTTCCACAACTACATTTGTGGTGTGTGCTACTTATGTCGACACATATAAGTAGTATGTAGTAGCGATCGGAAGCGGAATGCATGCCAGCAGAAGATTGAGATTCAATTGAATAGAACAGAAGTTGTAATAAAAAAAGGAATTATGAAACATGTAAAGAACAACTGGTGAAAGATGTGCAAACTATGTATTTAATGTATGGTTTTCATATTTTACGAGAGCACTCTGTAATTTTGCACTTAACAATAAATTGATTTTCCCCACCTGAGTTGGCATTTACAACACATAGATACCATATACAGAAAATTCAATGAATTACGTAAATAATTTCAGTAGTTTCCTTTAAGAACTAAGATCAATTAGTAGAAAAGTACTGTAAAATGAAAATTAGAAAGCAAAACTACACGCCCCAACGCACCCGGTTAGGGTTCGTCGCGAGTTTCAACCCACCGAGGTGCAATGGTGAGCCTCCACCCAGGGTCAGAGCATTCCTGATCACCCTGAACCCGGCGTCAGGTAAGTTTCTGTTGTCTGTAATGATTTATGCCTCTTGAATCCGTAACTAATAATATAGTCAAGTCGCGTATTTGGTGTTGATTCTATGTCATAAAAAGTGCCTTGATTTTTGAGAATGAACACATAAGTTAATAAAGCTACAACATCATTGTTATTGTTTATGGGTTTTGAATTATTATTAGTATCGTGTACATGGTTTCTTATTGTTTGAAATGATGAATAAAATGCTATCGCAGCCGACCGATATCTGTTCACAAAATCCTTCAATATACTTCCTAGATAAGTCCAGAGAATCTCATAAAAATTGAATGATAGTTAGAAATGGCCAGACAATCAAGATTGTATGCTTCTTTCTGTTTACAAAAGAATAGAATGGAACACCATTTTTCATAATAAAATTACAAGATCAGGTAAACATGGATAGAATGTACGTACAGTATGTTGTAGATTTGTTTGAGCAAGAAGGGTATGGTAATTTCGAATGACGAGTGTTTGAGAGATTCTTCTAGTACGAAAAAAGACCCACGAGGATTGGATAGACGGAGAGACTAATATGAGACACTTCAACGATATTCCTTTGTGCAATTAAAATAGTTCTTGTAAAGAAGATGTATTGGTTAAGACTCCAGAAGAATTAAATTATGTTCAATTTAAATTGAATGGTTGTCAAGCGGTCCAAATATTTTTACAAAAATTTATTTGACTAAATAATCGTCAGTTGATCATAAAGTCACAGTGAAATTATGAATATAGTGAGAAATGAATAAAAAATCAAACTAACTTCGTACTTAATAAATTAATACAAACGAAAATCCGCTTTAATCACCACAAGAATTTTAAAATTTGACATCATCCTAATGTTGTGTTTGGGAATTCAGCATCCTTAACACAATATGATCTGTTGTTCATACAATCATAATCGTAGGTTGTCGAATTTTCATTTTGGATGTCGATCAGTTTCTGATGTATTATGAACGCCAATAACGATGCCTTATTCCTGTCCACTACCGACTACTGGTTGTAATAATAATTAATGAATATAACATTTTTTATTTGGCTTTAAAATGCTTGATGAGTAAATACTATTTCATTGTATTTCTTAGAAAATCGTCCTTATATTACTAATTGTTTATCATCAATATACTGATAACGAACTTGGAACTTCTAGAATCAGTAGCTACTAAGTAAACTGTCAGTAAATTTAGATGGAACAAATTAATTATACATTGCACCAAATACACGATCACAAAATTACATCATATTATGTCTTGGTCGTGATCGATGGAATAACCACTGTTTGTTTTGGTGATTGACATTTTTGATCTTAACTGTTTATTAAATAACTGACCACTAATTCGTATTCATACTGCTCAAGATAGCAAAAATACCTAGCTGAAGAGTGACAACTAGCATGAAACCTAAGTCCACAGTTTACCGACAATCGTCTCAAACCGCCTAAAGTCAATTTCATTTTAATCACTGAAATATCACAAGGTCTAATCTCACTTTTTAAATAAAAAAAAAACAAATTATTTCATAAAAGTTGACATTTTATAGTGCGTGGGATGCGAGGACATTCGAGAAAAAATTGTCAATTTAACAGATTTGTTACTACGCGAAAAATATTAACAACCAAATTATACAAGTGCTTTTAAGCAAATGAAATAAAACTCGAAAAATTGACAAAGTGTAAATCTTTGTTACAAACAGTGAGACAAACAATTTAATATGGAGGATATTAGACTATCTTTCATTTCTTGCGTGATTTCAATTGATGACCTGTACCACTGAAAGGTTTGAATACAGGTTCTTCTATTTTCTGTAAAAACAGGTATATATATATATATATATATATATATATATATATATATATATATATATATATATATTATAGAAAATGTCAAACAATAGTTAAGTAAATAGTAATATGAAGTCCAACAAAATTTCTTGTCCCATTCAACTATTCACAACTTGAAAGGAATAGGAAATAAAATTACTAATTAACCCTTAGAAAATATTAATGCAGTTCGGTAACCAAGTATAAACTCACTTAACCGGCTATTGAAACATATCTTCTGAATGAGAATCAGTGGATAGAGTTATTATCCGGATGGTGGCTAAAGAGAAATGAGTGGAGATGGGTCCAAATCTGCTAATTATTTAGTGATTTGAATATACGAGCTTAAATCACTGAGTTGCTCTTCTATGTTTCTAAATATAACTACATGTGAAACCAATCATATAAGGAAGCGAGTAAATATTTGAAGTTGAAGGATGATAATAATTCGCCATTTTATACAGTACCTGAAAACTACCCAGTTTATCTAGAAAGTCTACTTTACAACTGTTCTTTCTTTGATAAAAAGAACTTCAGTATTGAATATGGACGGATACTGTTAAAACATCAGTAGCAAAAAATAGTTGGTTAAAAGTGAAAAAAAACAAGCTGCGTGTTGCCATTATGTCAACAAAATCTAAAAATTCTACGCAGGTGTATGTGCTTCAGTCTGTCAGCTACAACGTAGGACCAGGCACATATATGCATCGATCCGAGTTGCCACACCTTATTAGTACAACAAGATCAACACCAAATTTATAGTGGTTACTTCAATGGTAGTAATATATAAAAAAGATTGTGTATGAAAATATAATACAGGAAGAAAGAACTAATTGGTAGAAAGAAAGGTATAAAGTAATTCTAATTTCACGGTTTAAGAGAAGACAAAGGGTGTATACACCGACGCCACTGTGATCGATTCTCAGCCATGTCACACAGACTCTAACCATTGGTTATGATAGTTGCGCGAATTCCAACCAAGTAGTCTGCATCTACCAACATGGCTCAGACCAGAAATTATTAACTTCAAGCACTGATGGCATGTTTTGGATTGGCCGCCCCTAACTTTCTTCTAACCACCCCTAACACTAATCAGCATTGTACGTCGTAGTGATCGATGTTCAGACAAGAACGTTATTTCCATAATAAGGTCTATGATGAAATTGAACAAAAAAGAAAGAGTGGACAGCCTTGACAGACACCACTTGGGGTCGCAAAAGCAGAGACAGTTCGTCATAAGCTCTGACTCGACTGGTGGTGTTCGAGTAAAGAGCCTTCACAAGGTTTATGTACTTCTGAGGTACGCCTTTCAATGACAGACACTGTCACAGTACTTCTCGGTTTACGGAGTCAAATGCTGCCTTTTATGTCAAGAAAGACCACTATTGTCGGACGCCGATAAGTATGCCTGTGTTCTAGAACCTGACGAATGGTGAATATGTGGTCGAAACAGCAGCGATCAGGCCTATATCTAGCCTGATTTTCTCGTGCTTGCAGTTCACGAGTCTTAGTTAAGCATCCGATAATTATTGAGGCTAGTATTTTAGATGCTATGTTAGTCAAACTAACCCCTCTATGGTTATCACAGGATAATTTTGACCCTTTCTTATATATTGGGACAATCAGTGATTGTGACCAGTCAGTCATATGGGGTTACGTCCAACTCCCAGATCTTAGCTAAAATATTAGTTAACCTAATCGCTAAAACTGGATCACCATCCTTAAAGACCTTTGGGGCCAATCCATTTGGACCAGCTGCTTTTCCGCGTTTCAGATCAGCTATAGCTTTTTGAACTTCAATTAGAATCGGGAGGCCTACTTCAATGCTTCATGCAGGCTGTTTGGGAATGGTGGGTAGTTGTAGAGTAGCTGAAGGCCAGCTCACCTGTTCTTTAAAGTGTTCCGCCCATCGTTCTAAACGTCTAGACTGAGAGCAGATAAGAGTGTCGTCTTTTTCTGTGATTGTTTCGCTTACACCTGAATTCTTAGAAGACTTAGTTTTGTTAACCAAAAAGGATAATAAATAAAGGCGTTTGTTTTAACCATAGATAAATGAAGTAGAATGATCAATAGAATCCACAATATGGAAATTCAAGTCTTCCATTCTCACAATTCCAAATGTTAGAGTAAGCAATGATTGAAAAGATTCAAACATTCAGCAAGTAAGTACAAGTTTAAGTACTCAGATTTAATTTCGTTACTTGTATGAAGACTAGTGATACTATTTGGTCGTCTAAACCATTGCAACGTAAAATGATACACTAACTACTCTGTCTCAAACCAAAGTTATAAATCATCCTCAGTGAGGAAAATTTATGTTAATGGACAGTGTCAACGTCGAAATTATTTCCGCCGCCTTTGATAAACTAAATGTAACCATGGTATGATACACATTAATTGAACTGGCAACGGAATTTCAGCTTACAGCATAACATAGTATTATAAAAAATATTAGATAAAATAAACCTACCTCTGCAGTAATTTGTTTTAGATTTCGGAAAAATGTTAAACTTCCAGGTCGATAATTATAGTTTGGTACACCCCTGTGGAGAAAGTCAAGAGTGCAGAAAGAGTACTTTGAAACATTTAATCATTCATTAAGTTAAACTGAATTAAATGAACTTATCCTACCAAATAAGCATTAAGAGTATAAGGTAAATATTATTAGATAAAATTCATTACAGACTACACTGTGCTAACACAGGCTGACATCGCGAACTACCAATAATAATTTTCAAACTCAAGCTAGAAATATTTAGCATCACAATTCCTGATTTTTCATCGATCGCCTTAAATTTTTTGGATTTAATATGAACTTCATTAGTATAGGGGACTTTTAGATGTTAGGTCTTTCCGTAACCATGGCCGTCTGAAAGTTTAACTTTAAAAAACAGGTGGTGAAATTTTGTTTTCCATATTCTCACTTTTGTATAATAATATTTAATAAACGGAATACACCCATTAAGACATTAATTAAGAAAGATTAGTCCAGCGAAGAGTTCTCTTTTCGGCGAACTCATTTTCAAAGCTGTACAATCGCAAATATATGTATTTATTTTAACAAGATAATAATAATACTGATAATCAACTTCTGTTAGACATGTTGACAGTGAAGTTAAATAAACAAAGTTATTAAAAAATTCTTTTAAAAACAAGGAAAGTTTAATAATCGTTTGATTGTTAATGGCTTAAGTATTCATAAAAGGACAAGCACATATATTTGCGATTGTACAGCTTTGAAGATGAATTCGCCGAAAAGAGAACTCTTTCTGTTAATATATGATTATTTGCTTCAGCTCCCGATTTAGTTGGGATCGAAGATCAAATTTCTTTACTAAAATCACATGTAAATTACTTTCATGTTATCAATAATTCAATTTATTCTGTGAACACTTTGGTGTAACAGTAATAAAGTTAGAAACAATGGTCATTCTTACCTTTCTCTTTCTTTCAATTGCCCTAATGATTGACCATTATCTGTTTCCTCAGTTTTATCCTGTTTATTTTTTCCATCTAACCGATAACCTGTACCGCTAAATGCCTAGAATAAATGAGAATTCATGGGCTGTTTAAACAAATAAAACTGTTAACATACAAATATTCCTATGAATTAGTCTATTTAGCTACAAATACAACTCATATGGATTAGGAAACCTGAATACTGATGATTCGCTTATTCGGAAGAAAATGGGTGGTATCCATGATGTGACTGAAGTTTATGTTACTTATTTTTTAGGCTGACAGGACCATTGAGGATTTTATATAAAAAGTAACAGAAGTCGATGAATTAGTTTTAAAATAGACGATGAATAAGTCATAGGTCGTAATGACGATTCGACCCGTGAAACCTGAGACATGGATCCACAACTCGAACATGCTAAATAAACACTTTGTTCTACACTGCTACTACTATTATCATAAAATCTTGAAGATAAACAGGGAAGTATAACTGAAGTAGGAAGGAAATCAATACTTTTGGATGACAGATAACATTATGGTTAAATATTACGAAAACAGTATGATCACAAAGAGAAAACAAAAACGAATACTCAATATTTAGTTCTCACTTATTAACATGAATTTTTAATGTACGCAAGGAGTTCATTTTCTCTTCACGATAGTAAGTAATTGACGACGTATTGTCGGAGAAGAAACGTTGTTTGGCAGTCGGGAATAAATATCAAAACATTATGACTTCTATTGTTAACTCAGAATATGATGAGGTAGTTTGTTTCATTCTATCAGACTAGTTTGCAAATGATGACAAGTGATATTACAATAAAGGTATCTGCCAATCGATGAGAATGAAGTGTTTTTTGCACACAGTAGGGCCGATGAGTCAGCAAGGTAGGGAATCCGTACTGACCTAGGATACAGATCTATTACGCATTTCTAGTTACAGGCCATCAACAAATGTGATGCTAACTAAGATATCAGGCTGAGAAATATTTCCAGGTAGTCAGGCGAAGAGCTAATAATAAGTTATGAAGTCAATAATTGTAATATAAGACGATGACACTTAAGACCCTTTAGTATGGTTCTCGATATATGATTCAATGAATGTAAATACAAGATAGATTAGCATGGATCACTACTAGGTAAGCTTAGCTATTTGTCATTTATCCTTCTCATTTGATGACTCCGAACTATACCGATTTACTAATATGAGATATTTGATGTTCATCAGTTAACAAGTCAGTATTTTTCAACAAATCAAAACACGTAAACACCTACTCAATCTTCAAAATAGAAATACCAAGGATCTTGAAGTTTACTTAGAGTCCCTTAGCCATTGCAATAAGTATTTAAGTATTTATTGCCATAATATTTAAACAAGAGAGAAGTTACATGAACAAGTTACCTGGAATCCTTGAACAACTGAAGGGATTTCTATATGATCTTCGATCTGAAACAAGCAATCAGCGTAGACAAATGACAGAACGAGAAAAGATATTGTCAACAAATATTTTTGACAATTTTTAAACTGTCACAAAAATGGAAGTGGTGACAAAACGACGATGATATTTGTGCATCTAAATTATGTACAGTCATTAAGGTAAGTGATATAGACAAAAAAGCAATGCTATTTTAATTCTTATGATATGATAACTCCTACCTTTAAAGATAAGGATAGTGGCATCAGATACTTTTATTTATTAATTTTTACCACATGTGCGTAGGTGTACGGGGGTTCAAAACAAAAGCGTCACCACCAAACCAGCTGAGATGACACAATACCCTAAAGATTCTTCCTTCTGACAAATGAGTCTGCTATAATCTCGAACTTCACAAAACTGATTGGATCTCACCAACAGACTCGTACCATATGGGCTGGCAGCCAAAAGGAACTTTGAACAGCTGTCAGTAAGTTATGTTTCAAATAAAAAACTTTGAACAATTAAAAGATATACCTTATGTAGATCTTTATCACTTTGTTCGCTCGAAGAACCAGAATCAGTAGGCTGATATCCAACTGGAGGTGCGAAATCAACCTAAAAAGACAAATATATGAATAGGAAAATTACACTCATGTCACATTCGATTATAGTGACTGCATCCTTCGGTTTCGTTTCCAACACTTTAAGCTCATATATACGCTCATTGTAGTTGATAGCAATGATATCTCCGACTGTGAGGCAAGCAAAGTCTCGAAGAGCGTTTTCCAGTCTAAATGTAACTATAAGTTGGGAATAAAATTACACAGCTTTAGGGTTAGATATGTCCAGAAAATCAGTACTCTGAGGCTGGAAACGAGCGAAAGAAGCCACAGGTAAGGCTGCATTAACTACAGAGACCAGGCCACCCTCTTCCAAATGTAGATTTTTTTAGCATCTGAAATAGAACTGATATATTTGATGTCTACCCAATAAGGAACATAAATCCTCCCTTCATCCGCAACAAATTCCAGTACACCACAATGAGTAGTTCGGTTTGCTTGTTGGTTAGTTAGCTTGAACAGCATTGGGTACTGAACGTTCAGTCGTGCTTAAAGTTTTATACGTTCATAAATCTGAGACTTACTAAGTACATCTAAAGCAGATGGAGGCATGATAACTAAAACACTTACACAGTATATGAAGTCTTACTTTTCCCTCCTTTTTCCACGCTAGAACGAAAATTATCGGCTAAAAAGGAAACTGGATAGCATCTGTACGAGGTGGTGAACGGTGAAGAATTATCAATTCGATGAAACTAAGAAAAGAATAAATTAATCCTAACTACTTACGAACACCATCTAGAAGTAGCGTTACAAAAATATAGAGCGCTTAGTGTTATGATTGATCAACTAATTGTTATTTTGAAGAAAGTTTCAGTTCGTGAAGGACGAGAGGCAATGCCCGTCTCTCAGATGATCAAACTTTCTTTTGAAAGAGTCGACAGATGGAGCTTGAACCACGTGCTGAGGTGATGAATTCCACTCGTCGATGAATCGATGGGAAAGTCGATAGCTGACAAGTAATTTGTTATGTACTTGTGAAATCTTTTGCTGTGTCCTCGTAAATTTTCTGTTTTGGAAGACAAGAAAAATGGGGGCATATCAGGTTCAAATTTATCAACAAGAAATTTGGAAACTGTAATCAGTTGCCTTTAGTTCTCCGACATGACAACGGGGACGGATTTAGTTTGGCCAGTCGAGCATCATACGGGAGCTATGCTATTCCGGGAATCAGCTTATCTGGTGTTCTCTGAACCTTTTCCAAAATCCCTCTGTCTTTTTTAAGCAGGGGCTAGCCGCTTGTATGCAGTACTCAATTTTAGGACGTACGAACACTGCACACAAAGTCAAAATGTTTTAGCGTCGTCATGACTAAAGACCATAAAGTTCTAAAACCTTTGACAGCAGTGTTCAGTAATCTTTAAGTCTTGGCTAACGGTGACTCCTAAGTTATTGTGTATTTGGATAACAGGTAGCTCAGTGTTATTCATCTTGTATGTATCTGTACCTCGATTACCGATATGCATCCCAATACACTTGGAAGTATTAATCGGGAACCGTCAGGTTTGAGATCATTCATATAATTTCTCCAGGTCATTCCGGAGTTTCAAGCTATCACCCTTACTTCTCCATATCTTGACATCGTCAGCATATAGCAAAACCGATGATGATATTAGGCGAGGAAGATCATTTACATACAAGAGTGTAGCGGTAAATAAATCCCCAAATTAAATAGTTCTGTGAGTTTTCGACATTGGATGCTGACCATATGTTTTAGTGGACTCATCTACCTGAAGGCGCTCGGTCAGGCATCCGCACCAGATCACGTGTGGTAACGCTGTGCTCAACATCTACCGCAATCGCTAGCTAGATTAGGTCAGAGAATTCCGATATATTGGTAATCGCCAAATACACTCTTCCGATCTCCTCGACTCTGTCTTTTGGTTTCTCTTGGTGGGTACAAATTATATTAGAAGGTGTTGCTGGTAAAAACATTGTCAAACACTGAATACCTGTGTCATCTTCAAGAGGAATAACACTGGCCCCAAAACTGTGCTCTGGGTACACCAGCTTTCACGAGCCATTGATAAGTTAGTGAGACAAGAATAACCTATTCTAAGACCATACTGCTTCTCCGAAAGGATCCAGTTTTCACCGAGATACTTAAACAGCTCCTCCCGAATAATTTTTTGTAAGATTTTAACAACCACACTAGTTAAGCTAACGGGTCGGTAATTCCCAGGTTTATGTTTCGTACCTGTTTTGAAGACAGGGCTTACTATGGCGTTCTTCCAATCTTTTGGTAAACGACCCTGCTTTACGGATAGATTAAAGCATATACTTAAAGGTTTCGCAACGAAGTTAGATAATCCCTTCAGTAGCCTAGGATGCAATTCATCGGGCCCCGTGGATTTGTAGTGCCATTGGACAATAACCACACAATCCACAAAGCTGAACACGAGACTACTCATAAAATAGATATTCAATATTTAACGCGGGGAAGTACCTAAAGATTGAGAAGGCGCGAACAAGGAGTTGAATAGATTAGAGTTGATCAAACGGCATGGCTCGGCCATGCAGGCATGGTCGCTGCTGAATGTTATTTTATATCTTCTATTCATATTAAATATATTGTTCTTTCTCTAGCCTAACCTTGTTCTACTTCATGTATTGGTAATTGATACAATACAGTGAGTTGGTGTAGTCGATGGTGTGACTTCCACGTAAGGTCTTATAGATTAGGCAGTTATATCATGACAAATCTACAAATTTAGAATTAGGTCTATTATTAGAGCAGTACTAATATCATAGTAGACCATAATTCTACAGATTTACCTATGTCAAGCTTATTTAGCAGACCAAAGACATCGAGTTCCTTAATGGTCACGCTGTCCAGTGTTTGTGTAAAGGGGTTTGCATGGAGTGACGGGAAAAGTGTTTCTATGGTATATACATGGCTAGAGAATTTCGGGGATACTTGAGCTTTGTCAAAGTTGTCCTCCACTAATGATGAGGCAGTACTGTCTCCCCATAGTGCGGGTAAAAGTCCCCCCTCTTTTTGTCCTTTGGTTTATATACGAATGCAAACGTTTAGGACATTCTATGGGTTTCTTGACAATTTTCTCTTCGTATAATCTTCTAGACTTACGGATGGTTGAGGCACAGGTATTCCGAGCTTTTCGATACTGAGATTTTGTCTCATCAATCCCCAGTAACCTAAATCTATCCCACATTTTTCTTCTCCTACGGAGAAGGATGCAAACTTCGCTTCTGAACCATTGTGGAGAATTTCTCGGCCCCTATGATGTAGTCCAAAGGATGTGGGGTGATGTGACTTTTAAGTATAAATTCCGAAATACGTCCCGAGCCGTTTTGATTGAGGACTGTGGCTCTATTGTCCAATCTACCGATGATGCTGAGTGCATGATATCTTGTATGTTTGCTATCCAGACGTTAGGTCTGAATTGAGCTGACGAATGCTCGTGCTTGACAATTATATGGAAGTCAAAATTTAGAACTACATGATCACTTTTACCTAGGGGTGGCGTGTAATCGCAGTTTGTAACGTCATCCTCATAATGGATCGATATAAGATCTAGTAAAAATGATTAAGAGTTCGGGTCGTTTTTAGTTACTTCTTTCACATGTTGCGTTAGAGCAAACGTAATAACCACATCAACTAGTTCCTGCTCGAAGGAATTATCTGACAATTCAGTTCTCAGATTTTCCCAGTATACTATGGGTGCATTAAAGTCTCCAAAGACTGGACAGTGAGTACTTTGTGACCAAGTACTGAGACTGCTTAGCAAGACCTCATTTACCTCACAGCATGAACTGTGACAGACCAAACCAATCAGTAGATCTTGTCCCTTGCATTTTAAGCGGAAACTAAGTAATCCATACGTACCGCTCTAATGAGATACACTGTCGATAATGACAAATGGAATAACATTCTTAATGAATAAAGCAACTCCCCTCCTTTGAGCTTTTGTAATCTGTAGGTTTTTACTAATGTAAGACCTTCAAAATCAGGTTCCATACTATCTATAGACTGCGCCAGCCAAGTTTCTGAGACTGCGATTACATTTGGCTTTTTAGAGTCAATATGTACACCTAGTTTCAACCGCTTATTGAGCAACCTTCGTGGATTAGTGTAACAGATCCGAAGCCTATTTAGATCGCTTCATGTTTCACCCAGAGTGTCTTTTGCATCAATCTCTGTCGAAGCCTCACAACCCGAAAATTTACAATTTTTAGATCCTTTTCGTCAGCGTCTAGTCTAAGTTGTAGTTGTTTTTCGGCTTCCCGTCTTTTTGCACGGTCTGCCAGAGGTAAGTCTTTGCAGACAAAAACTCCTGAACTCCTTAACTCATGTCCACTCTCTAAAATTGTGTCCTGTTCAGTGGGAGATTTGAATATCACTCTCAACAGCCTGGCTTGATTTGGTTTTAAGTTCGCTTGACTACCTAGTCTATACATCTTTAACAAGGTGACTCCAGAGATATTTTGAGGCATAAGTTGGCTTAGTAGCTGTTTTATCAACCCAATGTCATGCTGAAAGCGAGTTTTTGGTTCAGAGCATTCACTCTCCTTGTTTCTATGAAAAATAACTGACCTTTCACTGTGACCAGTCTTCAGTTTCTTGACTACTTTTGTAAGGGGGGTAGGATTTACGTTCATACCGTTATATCGTTCCTTGCTTACGACCTGTACCCAATCGTCAACTTTCGCAACCACAGTTGCGTCAAACGTAATATAGGAATCCGGAGGGTTGTCGACGACTTGGAAAGTCAGGTTGTGCTTCCTGCTAGAAACAGATGGAGCCTTGAGATTACGATTCCTAGGCGTTTCTTGCTGGATACCGCTTAGAAGACAGGGAACAGAGGAAACTTCCTTTCTTGAGTTTTTAGCTAAGACAGACCTCTTTGAAAACAGTCTTTCCTCCTTTGTTGGATGTGAGTCAGCTGTTTCCGAACTTACTTGAGGTGACTTTACATCAATTTGCGTGTCGACAGAGATGGTGCTGTCTGATGTGGCCCAACTGCGCTTGCTAAAACGCGTTTTCCCAGCATTTATCATTGAGATGGCCTCATTTAGCAAGCTATTTTCGTCTGAACAGCACTGCTGACAAAGCCATACTCAACTGTTTTTACTGAACCATTTAAAAACCGCAGGCGTCAACTTCGTGCAAACTTTGTGGCACCAGCCTTTGCACTCATCATACTGCATGCCTCATCCAACGGGATATCGACAGCCCGGATGTTGGCAATTGCTTTTCTTGCACCATCCAATCATCGAACAGAGGTTTCTGAAAGTAAACTAGACAATACTACCCAGAGACAAAATGACATATGACCAGAAAAGTGAAAAAGTGTAAATTGTTAGAACCGAAAGTACTAAGAAATACAATCGAAAACAAAGTGCTTTCGGTAAAATACTTGAGAAATAAAAATGAAACTCTGATCCAATACTCTAACTGAAATAAATTCAATTAAAGTGTAAACACTAGTCGTGATACGTAATAGACGATCAAAACAACAGAATTTACTCAGCGTGGAAAATACCATCGTCCTTTAAAATAGCGCGTGCGCTGGGTTGGTAAGGGTAACGAAGTCCTGTATTACCCCTTTACTAGTAAATATGTGCATCAAAGTCTTTTCTTGAACGCGTTATTTAAAAGCAGGACACTACTCCTTTCGGTGGAAGATTCAAAGAATTGATTATTCAGTCAGAAAACCAGTATACTTATGTACGCCTGTTACTACTCGCGCAGCAGAGGGCACCGACCAGAATTTGGT